GGGGTCGGCAGCTTTAGGGTGCAGCTTTGGCTTTTCATGCGCGGGATAGACATGTGAGTTTCAGCGAGCTGTTGCCCAGGTGACCTGAACATGTGGGAGTTTGGAAGCTGACTGCAGCTTGCTGCTGTTCTGAAGTGTCAGTTGTTGACAGTTGTTGACGCCGCCGCTTTTTAGAAACTAACCCTAAGCCCTGAATAACCGTGGCGAAACATCACCCAAATTCCACCCAACCACCAAGCCCTCATTCGTGTCGAAGGACAAATCCCTGAGCTTCATCTTAGCGTCTCTTGCGCTGGTTCTGGCTGATGTGGTTTGGCAGTAGTAGTCGCAGTGGTCGTCGTCGTTGTGGTCGTCGTCGTAGTAGTAGTGATTAGTAGTAGTAGCCGGAGGAGGAGGAGGCGGAGCAGTTGTTGCCCTTGATGTCGCTGCTTTGATGTTGCAAGGACGGATGGTCGTGACTCAGTGGTGACGGCTGCGGGCTGTAGTAGTAGTAGTAGGGGTTCAGGAGAAGGAGGTGAAGGAGGGACAGACAAGTCAGCAGCAGCCGCAACAGCACCAGTAGGACCAGTATGGCTTCTCGACCGACGCACAGGCATGCCATCCAAAAGGCCGAGGAGGACACGATGGCTGGGTGCATGGCCCAGCCTGAGCTTTTCTGGCACAGCTTGAACTTCATGGCATGGTGGTTGGAGTAGGGCAACTCAAGTCAAGATAGCCAGCCGAAAACGCAAACTATGCTCAGAGGTCACGGGCTTGTTTCAATGCCGGGCAAGCACTCGAAACATCGGTTTCCCAGCTCAGGGTTTAGAGCTTCGTGTTTGGGGTTGAGGCTGGAATGGCTTTGGTGCCGTGCAAGGAGACCTGTTCCAAGCAGCCTCACTAAACGCCCCCCGTGATTCCGAAGATGCTAACCCTTAAAGCATCCTAGAGCCCTTACACACCCCTGAACCCTATACAGACCCTAATCCCCAAACCCTTACAGATCCCTGAACTCTGAACCTTGACAGGACCCTAAGCCCTATAAGCCGGAAGTAGGACCCTAAACCAGGGACTTGGACCTGCAGGTGCGGCGGAAAGATCGTCTCGCGGATGCTCAATGCGGCGCCATGGCCCCAGGTTTGCCCAGACCTTCCAATATATCTCTTTATTATTAAGGAATATACCTTAGACTATTGCAGGAGCCCTAGTATGATTTAAGGTATATTCCATAATTAGGGATTGGGTGATGCCCTATCCGAATGCCACCATCGCTCCGTTTGCGGGCCTTTGTCATCGACCCAAATCCATATGTATCGAAACCTCACAACAAAGTAGTAGGGTCATTCCTACAGTCGCAACTCTCAGATGTCTGAGACTGAAAAAGCAGATTCCAAAGCCTCAACCTGGAAACAGTAGTTCCATATAATCCCCAACGACTGAAACACTACGCTCCTACACCCTCCAGCCCTCCAGCGCTCAACGCTTGAAGCCCTAATACTAAAGCCCTAAGCCAACCTTATAGGGTGTTAGATGATGTGCAGGGATTTGCGCAGTTTACAAGGGTTTGAAAACAGGGGTCAGGGCTCGGAGTCGTCAACAATGGGCCGACGCATTTTTGACTGAGAGTGAATATACCTCCTCCATGACCATTACCTATAGTCTCCATTGTAGTTCCTTTTTTTGTTGCTGTATAACCCATTCTATAGGATCCCAATTAAACGGTATCCCCCCAAAAAAAAACTACAATGGAGACTGTCGATATGACTTTGTGAACCAGGCTGGAGATTTTCGGGCCTGTGCCCTCTGGGTTTAGGGTTTAGGGAACTGCCTGCCCAGGATCCGAATGGGCAAGATGGTGCGCACCCGAACGAAGATCGGCAAAGGCCAGGAACTAGTAAACTTCCATTGCTGAAGCAGCAGCAGCAGCAGCAGCAGGAGGAGGAGGAGGAGTAGTAGTAGTAGTAGTAGTTGTTGTTGTAGTAGTAGCAGTAGTAGTCGTCGTCGTCGTAGTAGTAGTAGTAGTAGGACTACGAGGAGCAGTAGGAGCAGTAGCAGCAGCAGCAGCAGCAGCAGCAGCAGCAGCAGCAGCAGCAGCAGCAGCAGAAACAGTAGCAGAAACAGCAGCAGCAGCAACAGTACTGTAGTCAGCAGAAGCAGCAGCAGAAGTAGGAGTAGCAGCAGTAGCAGCAGCAGTGGCAGTGGCAGTGGCAGTGGCAGTGGCAGTGGCAGTGGCAGTGGCAGTGGCAGTAGGTGCCATTGTCGCTCAGCGCCAGCTTACAGGGGTTTTTGACAACGCATGCATATTTCAATGT